CTAACAGTAATACCACAAACATCAACGCGCATCACTCCACTATCCCAGTTCTCAACTGTGTTACTAAGGGCGTACTCACACTAGGTACAGTTACCTTGAACAGTGCCTAAGCGCAGGTTGCTTTACATACATTTTATATTTACATCAAAATTGAGTAATACTTCAGTTTTAACCCTCAGCGGTATAGTTTGCAGAGTTTTATACTGTGTACAGACTCTCAAACATGTATCTCAAGTTATTTTGTGTGATAGTTAAATATATTTTAAATAAACTGCAAACTAAAACATGTAGACTAAATTTTTTCTCAGATTCTTTCTTGAAACTCTTCCCTCTTAGTCATGTGCCAGTCTGATGGCTCATTATGCAGTTTATTATGCAGGTCTTTGTCTTCTCAGATGTGACTCACTGCATTATTAATGATAGTTAACACCTTTTTGCATAGACCATTTTCACTCAAAAAGTGACTTAGACAATTTAATTCAATATATTGTTTTCTGTGAGCGGGTAAACAAGATGATTTCCACATTATTTTGAAGCAAAAACACTAGGCTACAAGATCTAGTTCCCAAAAGTCTTGTGAACAAATGTTCTCTTTGTGTTTCACAATCTTATTTCAGTGACTTTAAATTTTTTGTTTTTCACAAACTACACACAAAACCTTTCTTTCTCAAATACACAAACCCATACAAACATACTGCTTAGGTATTGTTGTAGCCCAGCTTGTGCTTTTAACGGTATTACCACACTTTAGCCAATAATATGTTATTAAGATACTGAAAACAATACAAATGTCAGTGCATGTCAAAACTTCTCCACGGCCCCAAAACTCCCTCAGAAACCTGAAGGTTAACCAGTGTCATGGCTCGAAATATACAGCAGGAATACTCTACGGGGTTTCCACAGGGTCTTAAATACTAAAATCAAAATTTTAGACCTTAAAAACTCTTAAATTTACTAAAATATTGTGCTGTAGGTCTTAAATGTTTTTTAACAGATCTTAATTTTCCTTTGTTCATGTATTGCTACCCAATCTGGCCAAAACCCATACAATCACCAACAATCCATCTCAATAAAACTTTAGCCCCTTTCACACAGTGATACCGGTAAATATCCGGAAAATTTTCGGAAAGACTTTACCGCAGGGTCCCCGCGAGTCCTTAAAAAGTCTTGAAATGTCTTAAATAAAATTTTCGATTTTTAAGGTCTGAAAATGTCTTGAATTCTGTAATTTTCCATAAGGAGGTCTTAAATTTCATGTGGGATCTTAAATTTCATGTCCAACTCGTCTTTTTTATTCGTTTTTTTCAACCGCTATTTGACCAGCGCAACATTTGGGGGCAGCACTTTGTGGGTGCAACCTGCATCATTCCATAGGTGACATACAAGTGATTGATGAATGCGTTGCGTTGATACTTCGCCACCACAGCATTTTGCGAATCGCAAGCATGGGCAAATGTTTGTTTGATGACAATTGGTTGGAGGACGAAAAGTATCGGGGGTGGCTAAAGAAAACAGCCAGTAATCATGAAGGGAGGTGTGCTTTATGTAAAAAGACGATAAAACTGGGGACAATGGGCCGCAAATCGCTCGATTCACACATGAAAGCAGAGAAGCACAAAAAGTATGTGTAGTCACAGGCAAGTAGTTTGCCCATAAGTGTGTTCTCATCGAGCACTTCGACCTCAGCCTTCCACAAGGCCGTCCACTTCTAGCAATGCCTTCAGCAGCTTTGCGAATATAGTTACATTTAAGGCCGAAATACTGTGGGTATTTCAAACCGTAAGCCGCCACCACTCGTACACCTCAAATGAGGACGTCCACCTAGTTTTTCAAGCAATGTTCCCTGACTCAGAGTGTGCGAGTACGTTCACATGTGGAAGAGACAAAACTGTATATTTAGCACGATTTGGTGTTGCCCCATACCTAAAGAAGAAACTAATTTCACAAGCAAACAAGGATGCTTTCATCATATAGTTCGATGAATCCATGAACGCAGCAACGAAGACTTATACTTGCACTTTAGACGTTGAGCAACTGACGAGACCGGTACCCTGTTGTCAGGGTTGTAAGGTCAATCAGCACTCGGCATAAAAGTTTTTGCGTCCCTTTGACCTGTCTTGAACGTGCAGGGGCGGACTGGGACTAAAAGTCAGCCCTGGCACTGTAGCCACACCAGCCCACATTACCACACCGACACAGCCCCACCCAAGGACACGCACATTCACTACTTATATTGGTGTACAGATGGTAAAATGATATAAGCAGTACCATATTTAAGAGATATTTAAACATTTAATGTATGTGACTGGAACAAAAGCAACCCATTTATATATGCAATCATGTCATTCATTTTCTTTTCGGCTTAGTGCCTTTATTAATCTGGGAACCGTCAGCTTATCCAGCATATGTTTTACACAGCGGATGCCCTTAAAGCTGCAACCCAATATACTGGCTTACCCAATTCACAATTTGCCTACCCAATTCACCTATAGCATGTGTTTGGACTTGTGAAGGAAACCAGAAGGAAATCCACGCGAAAATGCAAACTCCACACAGAAACACCAACTGACCCAGATGAGGCTCAAACCAGCGACTTTCTTGCTCTGAGGCGACAGCACTACCTACTGCGCCATCACACTGACCCCTTTCGAGACTAGTTCAGTAAATTTTATGTATTTGGCAATGTCTGACTTGACTTCCTTTCCCTTTTTTTTTTTTGCACTTACTGTTTGTTTAACATTCTTGCCAGATTTTGATTACATCTGAGTAGCCTCAGATTGGGTCGGCCCATCTCAAAACCAGCCGGTTGTTGCCAATTGGGCCAGTGCCTAACATTTACTATTATTCTTACTATTACCACCATCATCATCATCATAATATTCACATCTCAAACAAAATAAAAGATGCCTACATTTAAAAAACAATACATATGAAAAAATAAATAAATAAAATAGGTGCCCACATTTAAAAAATGGTCCAGCCCTTCTGGCATTTGCCAGAATTGCCAGATGGCCAGTCCGCCCCTGTGAGCGTGGCTCTAGTGAGTTGTGCCACGCTAATGCTTCACCACATCATTCTGTGTTGACACACTGAACATTTTCCTGTTTTTTTTTTTTGTTTAGGTAAAGTCTTAAATTTTCATTTTAGAGGACTTAAAAAGGTCTTAAAAGGTCTTAAATTTCTTGTTAAAAAATGTGCAGATACCCTGTACCGGTATATTGAAAAAAGCGCTGTTCACACAGGCGAGGACGTTACGGAAATTTTCCGGAAAAGAGCATTTACACATCCATTCCAAAATACCGGTAAATTCTGACATCATTCACCACAAATGAGCTTTAAACGGCTGCGCTTGTATTTGTAAACATTTGACTAAATTACAAACTCTGTGGATGATCAATATTGTGAACAACTTTCGCAGGATCACTTTCGCATGTCGAGATGTTCATAATATGTGCGTGTGCAGGCGCTCATAGGCTGTTTCACAGGCACACGCAAAGCTTGAAGGTAAACAAACAACGGCTTATCATAAGCATCTCATCGATGATTATTTACACAGTTGGCATTAAGAAGAACATATAAACATGATCTGACTAACTTCTAGCAGCTAAATGTGTCTGGAAAAATATTCAAAGGCTTTTATCCTCACAAACCGCGCGGACGTAAATGCGTCTGACTGTTCTGATTGGCTAAAACAGACGTCTCACGTCAGCACGTTCTAGACGTGCACGCGCTTATTACGGTAATCTTCCTTCTGCATTCACACAGCGCAGCATTCCGGCAAATTGCCGGTAATGTTACAACTTCTCTTTCCGGAAAATAGCCAGAACGAATTTACCGGTATTTTCAAAAAGGACCTGTTCACACATACAAGCTTTGTCTGTATGTGTGAAAGGGGCTTTTAAAGTTTTTATTTGAAAAGGTCATTTTTACTGTATTTATCATGATGGTTTAACTATTTTCTATACAATAACATTTGTTTTAAACTGCTCCATGTATTTACTGCTAAGGACACTGACCTGGACAGATTGTTGTGCATATATTTCATTTATTATAGTTTTCAAAACGTTTAAACATTTGTTCACTTTTTTATTTTTTAAGTTTATGTTGGGAAAAAGTGTATGGATGCAAGTAAAGCTTGCTTGTTTTTACACAACTTGTTTTGCTGATTCTTTCCAAGGAGACCTAATTTATGCTTACAGCTTACTGGGGTCAAAAATTGTTACTATTTAAAGTTAGGTTGGTATAAATCCCCAAAAGTGAGTGTTGGATAACAGGTTGAAATATTTAGCTATGAAATATTTAAAATATAGAATTTTTTTATTATTATTGCATTATTAAACGTATTCAATTATATATATATATATATATATATATATATATATATATATATATATATATATATATATATATATATATATATATATATATTATAGGGGTAAAAAATCTTGTCCGGCTGAGCCATTCGAAAAATCCTTAGACTTCAGCCCCTTTATGAGTCTAAAATTTCATTCATAATGGTCTTAAAATGCCTTAACTTTTAAATTTAACTTGGTGAAACCTGCAGAAACCCTGATCTTAGGGGTTGCATCATCCCTGCTCATTTGGTCATAAGTTCATCTGAGACTTCATCTGCCCTGCTGAGAATGCATGGTAAATGTTCTCCAAATGAATATATGCTGACTGCATTGATTCAGCAATGGCCTGGAAAAGGATGTATATCAGGTTAAGAAAAGAGTTCATGAACCTCACAGATCCATGAGAAATGGATTTAGGTTAAAAATCAGAGATCTGCTGCTGACCTGAGCTTTGGGATTCTGGGATTACACAAAGATAAAGGGGGACATGCGACATCCTGTAACAGGAGAGAGACGTTGAAAGATTGCATGTTGAAGTCATGATGTTTGACCTTTTCCAGTAAACTTGGTTTCTCTATCCTCTTGAACAAAAAGCATGTGTAGTGTATTGATGTGGCTTTTGACCTTTGTGTGTTTGTGTGTCAGATCTGCTCTCAGCTCAGCGAGCGACTGGAGAAACAGCAGACGTCCAACAGAGGAGAACTAGAGAAGATTCGGGTGAGCGAATAATCAAGAACACACACAAATACAGAAGAATAACAGAGGACTATATCACTTAATTTAGCTTGTGATTATTTAGGGTGTTGAACCTTTGGTGCGATTGCTCTGTTGGTAATGTTCAGTTGAGTAAGTGTGAACACTAAACACAGATGCACACCTAAAAGTGGACGGTGACTAAAATATGGATCTCACTCCTCTTCAAACCAAACTCTGGCACAGTTTGACTAAAATAGGAACACAACCCACATGAAAGAGGATGTAAATTAACCAAAAATCCCTTTGAGCAGGTCTTGGTGTGTGATTGCTGCATTCAGACCTGTCCAAATGAAAATACAAATTCTAGTGCAATTCAACCAAATTAAATAAGGCAATTGTGAAAGCACCCTAAAATGAACCATACTAAGGTTTTACTTTCCCATGAGGACATTTTTATTCTAGTATCGGTACTATTAGACCACTACTTTCCTTCAACCTGCAGTCATTACTTTATTTTTTAGTCTATGGGGATTAGAAAAATCAGTCGAGTAATTCCTGTCTAATCAAATCACACATAGAAGGTAAATCACCTCCTGATGATCTACCTCAAGACGTGGACCAATTTTAATTGAAGCAAACTGTTTAGAAGCATTAAAAGTGTCCAAAAGAAGATGTCCAAAATCATTCACGCGTTGGCCCAGAGACTGTTTAGATGCAGGTTACTGATAAGATGACAGATGTTTACTGTATAATGACCGAAATGGCCTTTAACACCCAGCAGGCACCAGATTAACAATATACCTCAATGTCGTGGGGACATCCAATTTTGTTTGGAAATAAAAATCCAATTGACGCCAGAACCCAACATCAGGCCGACGTCAATGTCCAACATCCACCCTAAAATCTACGCCTAATGATGTTACAGTTTGATGTTGTGTGGACGTTACCACTATGACGTCTATCAGACGGGTTTTGGTTGCCATACCTGATGAATAAACGTCAGTATTTGACGTCAAAAAGACAAATATTAAGGATGTTGGCTTGACATTGGATTTTGGATTTTCTATCACAACCTAAAAGCATTCAAATGTTAATGTCATTTCACGTCGTTATTGCACATCAAAATAATATGAACGTCTTATGTTGCTGTGTATCTGCTGGGCAATAACTAAATGCACTACAGAATGCTACCACTCTGGTTGCACTACATTTTTGGGCATGTAATTGTGCTTTTACTCAAGTATGATTTTTCAGTACTTCTTTCAAAGGAGAAGCCCATGACGTGCACATTTTAAGTTTTTGTCACAGAATGTTTTACCTATTTAACTTTTTTGGAATCACTATAAAAATGTGAAGATTTTTGTCTATTGGTGTCTCCAGTCATGGACAAAAAAATTATATCATTTCAAATAAAATACAATTTTACAGTTTATGAAATACCCTCTCAAAAACAAAACGTGACTAAAAAAACAAAACGGTATATTTTTCCTCTCTTTTCAGGCAGATAGGCTGTAGGTGTGTCTCTGTTGCTAATGCTGCCATTTTATATTAGGTTAACATTTCATAGTTTCACTGTCAAAAATAAAACAAAAAAATGTAAACAGAATGAAACATCTCCAACTGTCATCTGTGGCTTTCCATTGATTGTGCATTTGCACTTATATCTGATGATCATATATTGTAGCCCATAATGCATGCACTCTCATGCTTTATTTTGGGAGGAGTCAAATTTATGCATGTGGTTTCATCAACCAGATGTATTTGTTACCTGTATGCATCCAAGACCACCTCCTGAAACTGTGAGTGATCTGACTTATATCCATCTGGAATGCATTTCAGAAAGTGTCTATGTCGGTCCATTTCATGATTGAATAGGTATCTGATCAGGAAAAAAATGCATGAAGTGATCATGTAAACAACCCCTTAAAAGTGTTTATAAACAGCTGATAATGAGTGTGTGTGTGTGTGTGTGTGTGTGTGTGTGTGCGCGCAGATGAAGGTGGAGGGCTGTGAGAAGTGCAGTAATCTCTTCAGTAAGGAGGGCCGCCTGAAGGTGCTCAGTGCTCCAAAGGAGGGCAGCGAGGAGGACACAGACGAGGAGAAGGAAGCGCTGAAGAACCAGCTGAGAGAGATGGAGCTGGAGCTCGCACAGACCAAACTACAGCTGGTGGAGGCAGAGTGCAAGATTCAGGTACTGGACACCACCTACTTGCTCTTAGACATCAGCACACTTTACAAATGCAAATGACACAGGGGTGTGTTTGGGTTTAGTTAGAACCAATCCACCAACATAGCAGTGTGTTTACTGGCTTCATTTAAGGTGGTGAAGTTAACACTGTGCTTTTGTCAATCAGAGAATATGCTTTAAAATGATTTAGAAAGATGAGTAAAGAGGTTATTAGTATTTACAACAATAAGCTCAGAAATAATCATGTCTGAAGCCATTTCTTTTTGAGCTTGATATGCTGTGATAGTTACTGTATAGAGGGAACATGGTGGGAGTGCATGGTAGGAGAACAAGTTTATTACAAATGATTAAGTACAAAGTATTTACAAGTAATTACAAAGTTTTTAATTTGGGCTTTTTATGGGTGATTGCATTGGTCATTGTGGGAATGGTTTGGTTTGGGAAGTCTTCAAAAACCATCGTTAGCTAAGGTCATAAGTTCCGTCGTTACATAGTTAGTTGATTGGGTGTTTCCTAATCTATTGTTCCAATAAATATATGCAAACTGCATCACAAATTTAGTTGCAACTACACCTCTAGTGCTGTAATTAGATGCATAGCGGCAGAGCAACTACTCATCATTACATCGTTCCTTTCCCAATCGATGCAACGTATTATAGTAGTTCAGTTACATCATTGTTTGGGAAATGACCCCTGGTCAGTAGAAACAGCTACAGAACTTTACACCGCATCAGCACTTTTATTTGATAGCTTCTTGCAGAGTCATTCCTTTAATCTTTTCTTCCAACACATGATCAAGAGAAGTTAAAGTAAAAGTTTATCCCAAAATGAAAAACCTGTCATCATTTGTTTAGCTACACATCATTCCAAACCCATAAAAGTTTATTCCTTTACACACAAATGAATGTTTTTAATCAAACTCCAGCAATCTTCATCCCTTTATTGGAAATTTCATTCCACACGGACATATAAAGGCATTGTAAACGTAAACCATGTTCAGTATTATGAGAGTCTTTATGAAGACACTGAGGAAAGCATTGTGCCGAAATGTTTGTGTCTTTAAATCACCCAATAAATGTAAAGAGGAAAAAAAGAAAAACAGTACGAAGCAACTACTTTATGAGTGCGAATCATTTCCTTTTTGAATAATAACCTAATAAGAGACACGATTGCTTTATTTGATGAACAGATTTCATTTTTATTTACATATGAATATGAAAATATAAATGACAGTCCATTTTTTGGTGATTTTAATTAAACAGAAATATGTTAAATGCAAATATAGTATTTTATGTTTAAAATAAGTTTCATGAAAAAAAAATATTTGGCAGGGACAGTGTACATTAATTAGCATTGCTGGAAATTTGCCAAAGGCTATTTTTCTTCCATTACCCCTGGACAGATGTTAACATTGTCACCCTGAAAACAATACAACAATTATACAATGAAACCAAGCATAACTGAGAAGCACTAAAATGGACATAGGAACTGTGCATCCAGAAAGTATTTATAGTGCTTCTCTCTTTTACATATTTTTTTTGTTACAGCCTTATTCCAAAATGGATTAATTTATTTACTCCATATTTTACCAACGATACCCCATAGTGACAATATGAAAAAGGGTTTTTTGAAATTGTTGCAAATTTATTAAAACTAATAAACCTGAAAAATCACATGTACCTTAGTATTCACAGCCTTTGTGGTGAAGCTCTAAATTGAGCTCAGGTACATTGTGTTTCCACTGATCATTCTTGAGATCTTTCAGAAGCTTAACTGGAGTTCAGCTGTGGTAAATTCAGTTGATTGGACATGATTTGAAAAAGCATACACCTGTCTATATAAGTGTATCTAATGGTTGAAAGTGCATGTCAAAGCACAAACAAAGCATGAAGACAAAGGAATTGTCTGTAGACCTCTGAGATAGGATTGTCTCGATGCACAAAGCTGGGGCAAGTTGCAGAAAATTTTCTGCTGCTCTGAAAGTTCCAATGAGCTCAGTGGTCTCCATCATCCATACTCTTTGGACTGACAGCTTTGGTGTGCCCAATATGAATATCGCGATCTACCGGTCAATCGCAAAGGTTGCATGGGTAGATTGCATGGTATTAAAAAAAAAAAAATCTATCCATCCATCCTTACTGAAATGTGTTGCTTGAATGACATAAAGGGGAGGCAGTCTGATATATTTTCTGACACATGGGTAACCACGCATGCACATACAAAACCATGCCAACTTATAGTGGCAATAGTTTTGCAGCACTTGGCAAAGTTGGCGAGGTTAAGTACAAATATTATTTCACCATGACTGATGATCATTTGGTAGTGTGCTTGAGGCTGGCTATCAGCAGCTCCTGCCCAGACTATGCTTTCCTGGCTGATTCTATTCAGTGCAAGTCATCAGAGTAAGGTAATGACAAAAATAGTTGTAGACTATTGCACAATATGTGTTTATTCAGTTATGCAAGGTAAATCAATATATAATGTCCAAATACAGCATTCTCAATATGTTTATAAATAAATAAATAAATATATGTTTTGCATTTTTAGATTGGGTAGGGAATTTTGACTTGGTCATTTTATTAGTAGCTCGCATGCTGGAAAAATGTGGGACCCCTTAAGCCTGATTTATACTTCTACATCAGGTGACCGGCGTAACCCACGGCGCATGCAACGCGCGTGGCTGTGCATTTATACTTCTGCGCGCTGTCTCTGTCGGTCTGCATTAACACTTCCGAAACGCTAGTTGGCAGTGAGGTGTAAATGTTCCTCGAGTTTCTTCGCTGCTTTATTGCTTTTCCTGAACACTTCTGGGATGTACAAGTGGCTCAAACTCGCTTATTTTGAGGCAGGAACCGGCGGACGTGCATTAACTTTAACTATGAGGTAAACACAAAACAAAACTTTCCATCCGGAGCTCCTTCACGGTACTCCACACTTGTAAACAATCGCTCGCGCCATTCGCCCAGCTCTCAGTCCCGCCCAGACTCGTCAGCGCTACCAAGCCGACCAATCACAGAGCTTACGCTATGCGTCATTGCAACGTGTAGTTGCAATTTTTGAGAGGTGCACGTCAGTGACAGCGACGGCCACGGCGAAGGGCTATGTGTTAGCGCCGTAGCATACGCCGGCGTTTGACGCAGAAGTATAAATCAGCCTTAAGGCATAGGGATGAACAATTCCGAATGGATCACACTGTTTGACACAAACAGCTTTCCTGCGCAAAGGATCTTGGGACCCCAAAGTGCCTATATCCTTCATTACAAAGGGCCCTACAAAGTGACTAGGTTTGAGCACTTTGGTTTGGAGTAGGACTTCAGTATGATAGCCATGATTGTGAAGTGTGTCCCATTTGGAACTTACCATTAGTCTGTATACGTACATACAAATGCATTACCTTTAGGGATGTTTAAGATAATTTAAAAGATCTTTACATTATTTTACTAAATGAATGTCTTGCCAACAAGTTCAGGTCACTGAATAAAATGCACATAAACTAACCCACAGTAAATGTTTTCTGTAGGATCTGGAGCATCATCTGGGTCTCGCTCTGAATGAAGTCCAAGCGGCCAAAAAGACGTGGTTCAACAGGACATTAAGCTCCATCAAGACTGTGACAGGAGCTCAAGGCAAAGAGAGCGTGTAACCGAACCACACACTTCCATAAACAAACAAAACAAAACACTCCAGCTCCCCATCATCCCCTTCGCTGGACCAGTGCGAACAACACTTTCTCTCTCCTTTTGTATAAAACAAACTAAAGTTTAACTCTAGGGTACCAGCTACCCACCTTTGAAACACAATACTTACTAAAGACAAGACTTTAAGGCTAGTCTTTCTACTACTGATGCTAAACAAAGACGTGTAGCGACTGAGCGGGAGATTATAATTTCTATCTACTGTCCAACTCACGACTACTTGCACAAACACAGAGTCTGAGGAAACGGAAGGTACGAGTGATGCCGGGAAACTAGCGGGACTTTCGTCATTGTATAAAAGAAAGCAAATGTGTTGCATGTGTCAGACTGAGATCTGCTTTTATTGTATAGTGTGTGTGTGTGTGTGTGTGTTGGTTCTCATTGGAAGACTAAAAACAGAAATTGGACACTGTATATAAACTGTACAGTGAAGTTTTACATATTCCTCAATGAACCACTAGATGGCGCTCACCAAACGGTGTATGATGGGATAGCAGTGTAAGCGAAAGGTCATTTACAGTCGCCGTTCATCCTGAATTACAGAAAGCACTTAAGCATTGAGCACAGGCTTTAATGGGAAAGCACATCTGGAGATAAATGAACCTGCGGCAAACACTGTGTATGTATGTATGTATGTATGTATGTGTGTGCGCGCGTGTATGTATGGGAAAGGTCTTTGCACCTTGCAGACATATTTATATTGATATCAGGCTTGCTGGAGTTATTGTCATTGTTAAAGATAGCCCATGTTCTCTGCAGGCCCTTCTAATAGGCACTGGGATGTACATAAAAGCATATGTTTTCTGTTTTTTTGGATTAATTTTATATTTCGACTATTTGGTAACTGTACTAATGTTGCCTCCTTGTACTGTGCTACCAATTATTACTCATGTTTTTTTTTTTTTTTTTGCTTTGGACTTCGATTTCAAACTGCTGTCTTATCATTACATGCCAAATGTACCTTTTACCCAGCATTACATGCGTGTGGACATGGTAATAGTGTAGGATGCATTGTGTAAACTTCCATGAGTTTCAGTATAAAGCTATGAACACGTGTCTCTGCTGGTCTCCAGTCTGTTCTTTATGGTTTGAGCTTTACAAATAACAGCTGTGACGTTATTTTAAGTTTTTACATTTGCAAAACATGCGCCATATAAACTCTTGTTATACTTGATAAGTTGTAGCGGATGAAAGATCAGCTTGACAATATTTCATTAAAAGATGTCTAAAATAGTTGTTTTTAAGATGCTCTATAAAGAAAATCTGGGTGTAAGTATGCATAGTCGAATGAAGCTGTGGTCACACTGCACTATTTTCCCCATAGACTTTCATTCATACGCACGCGAATGCGTCAGACTGGAAATGCAAGCTTGTGCATTAAGTTTCGCAGTTCGCTGCGTTGGAAAGTTCAAGCTTGGTGAACTAACCTGCAAAATCGCATCACATGAGTGCGTGAGACCAATTGAAGATCAAAACATGACCTCTCAGGACAAAAATTTAAAACATGGACCAATCGCTCGTTTTTTTTTTTTTTTTTAAAGGGTTAATCATCTTGTTTATTCCTGCCCCTGTTAATTTTGGCACACAAACTCTAGTGTGACCGCAGATTTTTAAGGGTTCAGTACATGAAAATGGTCATACTGTGAGCCTCAAACACTGTTGTTTCCTGTTGTGTAAATTTGGCGACTGTACTGTAAAACCCCGGTCGTGAAATGCCAATCAGAACATAAAACAGGATTTGAATGTACTTAGACTGACATTCAAGGTCATCAAATCAGCAGTTCAAACACAGATTAATATGTTGCATACAGGATCATTAATGTGCACACCCCAGGCTATTTTGAGATTACAACAATGTTCATTTTTCTCCCTTAAATTTTAAGTTGATCAACGTTTATATTAAATCAAAGAATATAGAACACAAGACATGTCACTTGTATGGTTTCAAATGGGGAAAAATAAGCACCCTTAAAAAATGAGATGGTTCATCTCAAGGGGCTATCAATAAATTCAAATTCAATGAGGAAAGGTCAATATGGTGAATAAAGCCCCGCCTACTAGTACAGGAGTCGATCATCAATCGTTATAGACTGACATTTCCTCTGTGGAAAAAGCTCAGTCCACGGACCTCATGCATCAACACTGCGTACGCACAAAAACTTTGCGTACGCCAGATTTCTTGCTCACGTTTGGATTTACGAACTAAGAAATTAATGTGAGAATGTGCATTGGTCCACGCCAACTTCATTGTCTGGCGTACGAGCATTTCTTATGTGTGTTTGTTTTATTTCCATTGGCGACTCCTAGAGGCAATTGTGTTAAACTGTACACTAAAAAGTATCTTTGAGCTGTGCAATGGCAGCTGTATGGGACGGGATCATTCGCATGTTTAGCCGGTATATAAGGTTTCTATACCGTGCAGTTGACAAGCCAAACATTAAAGCAAAATTTGCAGTGATCGCTGGTTTTCCCAATGTAATCGGAGCGGTCTACTGCACGCACATTGCTATAAAGGCACCATCTGAAAATGAATTTACATACATGAATCGGAATCATTACCGTTCAATAAATGTGCAAATAATAGGTGATGCTCAAATTCGCTTGACATAATGCACACTTATTAATGAATCTTACTTGACTTCCTCATGATGAAGAGTAGGCAAAATCTGATAAGTAGTGGGGAAAAGAAGAATGAGTTTATCAGACGCTGGATTCGAACCGAGTTCATGATTGAACGTGTCAAAACATGTTGCCATGCGTTTTACGAGCTACGCCACCCACACTGCTCTTTGCCGCTCTCTTTAGTTATGTTGCCTCTGTCAATCCAACAGTGATGGGTGGGAATTACTCAACTCGCTTATTCCAATGAGGTGTGCTATTTGCACTTAGCATAAATAGACACTACACAATTTTACATCTTTACATCATTTCTTTTTTAATTCACTCACCATGCGATGTTCAGACCCCACTGCATTAACCGTGTCAGCTAAAGTCTTCCACCAAACTCAATTTTTTTCTTTTGTTATTCATTCGAGAGGACAAATTTGCAAATAACACCGTTTTTCTCCAGTCTATCTCCGAAAGGAGCACCTCCAATTCACATTGTTGTTTTTTTCTCTTTTTGCTTGCTTTTGCCATTGCTTTTTCATTTGGTTTTGCCAAAGTAGAGTCATTACATATTTATTAGAGGGAGGAGGCTGGGAGGGGTTTTGCGCTCGTGCACGTGCGCTCAGTTTCACTTTAATTCGGTTGTACAAAGAGAATATGGATGGGATTCCGCGTACGCAGGGTTTCATACATCTGAATTTTTTTACTGCGGACGCACATTTGCAACTTTGTTCGTATGAAATGTTTTAGTATGAATTTAATCTTCTTCGTACATGAGGCCCCAGATGTGTTTTTACAACTGTTTGTTTTGGTCAACAAATGCACTGGAATCTCAGCGAATACTTGCTTTACAGATATAAGAAATGTATCTGCATAAAATTGATTTCTGTACTTTTAACTGAACCCACTACACTTAAAAACAAAACTTTTTTTGGTTTTGTAACCTGTATGAAACAAACGTGAGGTACTATCCATCCTGTGTTCAGAGGATGTGTAGAATGGCCATTAATGAGGTTGGTGTTGCGCTCTTGTTCCTCTCGAGTGTGTGCATGCACTTTAGCTTGAGCGACCTGAAATAATGCCGATTGATTGATTCGGCCATTTAGAAACTAAACTTTAATGTTTAATTGTATTGCTGATTCCAAATATGTAATGTAACCGTAAGCTTGGTTATAGAAATTGATTTTTTTTCCATTTAGACAAAATACCTAAGCATACTGCCTGAGAGGCATTTCAAATGTGGCCGCAGAGTGAAATGACTTGGCTTAAAAAACTTTGGTTAAAATACCATGTCTGTGTGACTCTTATTTTGAAAATGGGAGATGCTGCAAAGTCAAAGCCAGACATGACATTAGCAGTGGTTACACGGGGCTGTGCAGTCATAATTCCTGACAAAGCAACAGCAGGTGACTTTGCTGAACATTGGTGTATATTTTACAGTGAACTTATTTCATTACAAGAAATACCCTGCTTTAAAAATATTCTTTGGCTAATGTTAGCTAACTTAACTTGGCTCCTTTCATCTGGCCAAACAAAACAGACATAATTTAAAGGTTTATTTAGTTTTTTTAAAGAGGTGGTCCACTACAATATCATATTTTAAACTTTAGTTGGTGTAATGTAGCTGTGTGAACATAAAAAAAAAAAAATCTCTGAATTTAAAAAGCTCAAAGTTCAAAGCAAAGGGAGAACTTGCTTTTTACAGCGTTAGCTTAGCAAAGCCAACAATGAACGAATTTTGCCTTTTGTGCAGAGGTGTCGGCATTCAGCGAGTTTTGCAAGTTGACTAAACTAATAATTTGATATGATGATGATGTTACTTTCACTAAGCATGGCTATAAAACAGAAAGGAGGGATAAAGAGTTAGGGAGGTAAGACTTCATAACATTAATTCTCAACCATGAGTCAGGTCTAAGATAACAGATAGTTCTAAAAATTATATATATTTTTGTTTTCTTTAGAATTGTCATAATATTCATGCAAAAGGTTTCTTAAGTGATCTTAGCATATCAATCCAGTTGTTACTTTGTTTGAAAATTTAGGATTGATTTATGTTATTTTTTTTAAATAATAATAGTATTTATTTGAAATAAATAAAAAGTTATATTTATTGAAAAATAAATTAACAATTTAAGGGTGTGGGGTGGTTCGCCCAGGGTGTCATTTAAACTAGAACCGCCATTGTCCTCCCCGATGGTCGTTGACCCGATGGTCGTTACCTAGACAGCAATGGCAATTTAATATTTACCTTAAGGTACATCAATAGAAGAAGCTACATTAGTAATATTGTGGCTCAAAAAAGGATATGGATAAATGTTATTATTAGAGTCTGTATAGTGAGTGTGTGAATATAGTAAATAACGCCTTTTGTTTAGTTTGTTATTTTATTTGTTTTATTATTTAACTCAATCTTCATTAATTTTAGACTTGGCATATACTATGTTGTACAATAATGGTGTGTGAAAAATAACCTAAAAGTTATATATATATATATATATATATATATAAATATATATATATATATATATATATATATATATGAAAAGTGTTTTTAAACTAAATATTGCTTTTTATTTGGTTTGCACATGTACTTGCTGAATTATTTCAAGGAATAAATTGCAATACTTAAACCACTATTTCATTTACCAGAAACAAATATATATATATATATATATAGTGTTTTATATGTATGTAAATACACTGAATTTATTATTTTTTGTGTGCCACCCCAAGACGATGTAGTCTTCGAAGCTCAGATTTGGTAGCTGAGCTAAACCAGACCGTTATTGACGTGCAAAAGACTGATTTAATGGAATGGAGGTGTTAGTGGAGGTGGAACTGTTTCAGCAGTTGAACTTCCTCAGCTGACCAAAAAAAGCAGTACTGAATACTTTTTATAAAAGCTTTTTATTGGTGCAGCAGCTTGAAGACGCCTCTCATATGGAGAATGAAGCTTCATGCATTCCTCAGGTGTGAGTGTCTCACAGACTTCAACAAAGTGTGTAAATCTTGATGCTTCTGTGGGTCTCGTCTATCAAATCTGAGCTTTATTTTGTATTTTCTATTGGATTCGGGTCAGGTGATTGGCTGGGCCATTCTACAGCTTGATTTTCTTTCTCTGAAAGCATCTGAGAGTCTCCTTGGCTGTGTTTTGGATCATTGTCTTGCTGAAATGTCCACCCTGGGTTCATCTTCATCCTCCTGCTAATGTAGATGTTGGACTGAAGCAGCTGATATTCATCTACACTAAGGAAGGGCAGAGGCTTGCTGAAGAACTACTAAGAGATTTCAGCTGCTGTCTGGGCTTTCACTGCTGGAATACACCCCCCTTTCTTCATGTGTTCAGTACTTTTTCACAGTGTCATTTCATTCATATTCGACGTAGTCAGGGGCGCCCCTGGGTAAACTCTGGCCACCCCTGTGCCCACCCTAATATGATTTTGCTGTTGAC